AAGTTCAATGGATAATCTGAGAAATATTAGGAGATAGATTTTAGATGCTGTCTATTGTCTGGAGACAATGAATCTCCTTGCCATCTCTTTTATGGTGTAAGGAGGGAAGAAGGCTTTTGGATTGGCTTATTGGGTATTTGATGGCTGGTTAGTGGATCAATCTCTGCTAAACTGAGAGCCTGGGAGGGCATTCAGGCTGGTGGGAGTAAAAAGACTATTATTGGCGTCATTCCCCACTCCATTTTTTGGACAATTTGGAGAGAGAAATAGTAGCGATTTTGATGGCACTGCAGCTGACTTTCTACTCTTAGAAACATATGGTCCAGGATCTTGTACTTTTGTATTAAGGTCATCTTGCTCCTTTGTGGAGAAGATTGAGGTAACCTCATTGATGTTCTTAATGACTTGTAATTTTGCTTCTTTAGTACATGAGTTGCACCTCCTTGGTGTCTCTGTTTATAATATCTCCTTTCTTCCTTAAAAAAAATGCTGAAGTTCAATTTGGGAAATTAAATATCATAGAATTAGGTATAAAAGTGTTATTTCACAAGTAAACATTAGAAAAGAAATTATGTTTTTCTGGAAGTCTGTTTAAGATGTATAATATAAAAGATCCTATCTCTCTTTCTCTCTCTATCTCTCATTCTGCCATTTTTTTAAGTGCAACAATGAAGGCCAGTAACTTTTTTTATTAAACTCTATTGAATAATTTGCAATGCAGAGTACTTGATATCATGAGGAGAGATGCGCAGAAGGATCCTGCAACATTTCCAGATGCCCTGCGTGCAAGGGCATTGATTAATCAGGTTTTCTCCAATGCTTGCTTGTTTTAATTAGAAGAGAACCCTTTTGATATATGTTAGTATATTTTCTCTGTCTTGGGTGAGTATACATGTTTACATATTACATATAAAAAGGAAGTATTTGTTCACAAGGCATAAAAAGAATGCAGCCTATTGACAAAAAATGAGGTTCCTGAGATCTCTGTGAATTAGAGAATGGCCCCTGAATAAAATACACTGGGTTTTGCAACTAATGCTTCCAAAAACTATTTGTTCCTTCCTTTATATAAAATCCAAAGGAAAACTGAAGAAATGAGAGGGATTAATTTCTTTTTATCATCTTACAAAGGGTTGCTGCCTTGGACAAGTATGATGTCCCCAAGATCTTCATCAGTGAGGGGATGGCTCCTGAGAAAAATACAAAGGTTTTCGCTACCAATGCTCTCAAAAGCTATTTCATTCATTTCTTTCTATACAATTCAAAGGACAACCAAAGCAATGAGAGTGACTAAATCTTTTTTCTTCTTATCCGATCAAAGACCCTCTTAAGCCCAAAGTTCCTCAGCAATTGAACCATTGACAACCCAGCTGACATTGAGGAAGTTTAGGGCAGAATCCCACAACTTTCTAGTCTCCTAGGACCATAGGAGTAGATTGCTTGGGTATTTATTCTTGTTGGGACAAATTGTGCACCGACTAACCAAATTTCTGCTACTCGTCAAGTTATCCATAACAAGAATTGTCCCCAGCAATCTTCCAGGCAAAGCATTCAACTTCCCTATTTGCTTCCATGGAAACTTATCCACAACTTGGTTACGATATGGTGGTAGAAGGATTTAACAGAAAATAAACATGTTTAGTGCAAATTAAGACTGGTTGATCATTCTCATCGGAGGTAGCTTACTAGGAGTTAGAAAAAGCTAGTAATGCAGTCATTAAATGAACCTTCCAATTGTTCATATTCCGCACAGTAGTAAATTATAAAGTGTTCCACAATATTTTCACTTGCATAATCCCTTCTAGAGCCTCCTTAGTCCTACCCAGATAGAGAACACCCAGAAATTGAGCCTTCAAAGGGCTAGCATCAAACCAACAATCCTCCAATAAACTAAGTGGAAGGCCATAATCAATCCTGAAATTGACCAATATCATTGAAGTCCATATCCTGATCAACTTATATTACACTGTGCCTTAAACCATATGTTTTTGCATGTGACATATGATACTAGTGAATAAACTTAATTGATAAGCGTGTGCCTGATTTCTAGGTGTATAGTTAGGTGGTAGGGGTTGGTATGATATGCATTAACTGAGTTTGGCTCAATTGGTGGACAAAACTTGTAGGTGGACAGGAAACTGGTGAAGCAGACAGTGATGACATCAGTATACGGCGTCACTTACATTGGTGCTCGGGATCAGATCAAGAGGAGGCTAAAGGAACGTGGTGCGCTTACAGATGATGCAGATATTTTTGGTGCTTCTTGTTATGCTGCTAAGGTAAATAATGGAGAATTTGGACCCATGAATCTCAACTTCAATCCATAAACAGGGAATTCCGTTTTTACGAGCACATGGGAGTACATTTGTTTTATCTTTAATGGAAATATGTTTCGTTCTTTGGGTAGACAACCTTAACTGCACTAGGTGAGATGTTCCAAGCTGCACGTAGCATCATGACCTGGCTTGGTGAATGTGCTAGGGTGGGTTTTGCTTAAATCCTTCAATTGATATTCGAGGTTCTTGTTTATTATGAGATTTTTTGAGTTATAGCTTGATAATGAGCAGATCGTCGCGTCAGAAAAATCAGCCGGTGCAGTGGACAACCCCACTAGGACTTCCTGTTGTGCAACCTTACCGAAAAATAGGAAGACATCTTGTAAGTTTCTTCAAAATTTTCCAAAGTGTAAATTATCTGATGTTATCTTCTCATTTGCAAGTACTGATACCACTCTTCTGTTAAATAAATGCAGATAAAAACGTCCCTTCAGGTTTTAACACTACAACGTGAAACTGAGAAGGTATCCCCCTTGTTGCTTCAGTTTTTATTTTTATTTTTTCCTTTTCTGCCATACACTGGATATTATATATTGGAACCAGTTATAGGGAAATATGAGATTCTAGGATAACCGGATTTTGTGGTTGTCCCTTATTGTTTAACCTTGATTGGAGATTACTCCTCCTTCGCAAAAATATTTTCTCTAGAATTTCCAATTTCTGTACTCCTTAGTAAACACTGTGGGGGTGAATCACTTACACCACCTTCACTTAACTAGTAAACACAACTACTGCTACTGCAAGTAAAGAGAAAAAAGGATAGTTTCGTTCCAGCTTGTACAGCCCTAAGCTTCCGAGACTATGTGATCACGTTCGAAGACAAACTTGAAATTTTGGGGTCTCAATTAGTGATTGATGGTTCTTTTCCTGTTACAGATCATGGTCAAGCGGCAGAGAACAGCTTTTCCACCAAATTTTGTTCACTCTCTTGATGGTTCTCATATGATGATGACTGCAGTTGCCTGCAGAAAAGCAGGCCTAAACTTTGCAGGTTGGTTAATTGGATTTCTTTTTTGGGTATTGATAACTAAGTTTTGGTTTTTTATTATCTTATGCTTGTATATGACACAGGAGTGCATGATTCATATTGGACACATGCATGTGATGTGGATGAGATGAACAGAATACTCAGAGAAAAGTTTGTTGAACTCTATGAGAAGCCAATACTAGAGAATGTAAGTATCTTAAACTAAGAAATGCGAATATTATGTCAGATATTGAGCAATTGTTTTTCCTAGGGGAGTCAGTGAGAAATTCAATTGCTAGAGATCATCTCCAAATTTGAGCAAATAAAGAGTGGGGAAAAATCAGAAATCAGCTAGTGACTGATCAATTTGTAAAAAGTTTTAGGAGGACCAAAGTAATTATAAAGTTTTAAAAGGATTAAGAAGTGACACTATCGGCTATTTTTTATAACTATCCTTGGACTGCTGTTTTCCAACTGTGGTGTCAAGGACTCATCATCCTTTTATGTCGCCATATGTTTATCCAGGCTACTAATGGTTTATGTGGGATGTTCCTGGAATCACTGAATTGGTTGGTTTAGTTTATTGTTTAACAGATTGTGTTATACTCATTCTCGTGCACAGTTGTTGGAGAGCTTTCAGCAGTCCTTCCCTACATTGTCCTTTCCAACCTTACCAGAAAGAGGAGACTTTGATCTGAGAGAGGTGTTGGAATCACCCTATTTCTTCAACTGATCCAATGCAAGAGCTTCTCTCAGATTGTTTGACAGCAGCCAGTTTTCTCTAGGTTTTATGCTACCTTCACTTCTCTTACATGTGATTTTTTCCAAGTAAAATGTGGCATCTACGGAGAGTGGTAGGCACCTGCTGGGCTATGCCTGTAAATATTCTGAAAGATGCCCCTAAATATCAAGCAGTCGCCTTGTGGTCCTATTATTCTTCTTACTCTGCAAGTCGGACTAAGAAGACGCCTGTGTACAGCCAACATCATTTTTTAGAATACGTGCTTCGATGCTGGGTAGAATATTCCATGGAGCTCATACATTAATGAGGTATCACACGATTTGAAAAGCGAAATAGTTGGAATTCTGCAGTATTTTTTAATTGCAGGTCATTGAGTCATTTGCAATCAGCAAGATTGCAAAACATCAGAAAACAGAAAGCAAAAGATTCATTGTAGGTTGTTGATGAATTGCAGTTTCTTTGCTGCAATCAATAACCATATCTCATCTTCACTATGTATGTAAAGATTAGTGGTAAGTTCAATGTGTTTTACTAACAGTTTAGGAATACAATTGTAACGAACGATCTGGATTCACGTAGATTTATGTTCATATTCTTTATTGTACTTCAAGATGTAATGTTAGCTTATATGTAAAAGGAGATCCACCCTAAAATTAGAATGAAAGTACTAACAGGGTTTTTTTTTTTTGTTCTTTGTTCTTTCTAATAGAATGCAAATTTTACAAGCAATTCAAGTTAAGTAAATGGATGAAACTTATTGATATGAGCTGGTGATTCAAGTAATTCAAGTAAGATGCAATTTAAATATACATACAAAAAATACAATTTAGTAATTTCCTGATCCCAATTAAGGAAGGATCAAGTTAGGATGGATGTATACATACATATCTGCCATTTTTTTAAGAAAAAATATATTTTATTTACCCTTTATATCAATTATAACATAAAATTTTTAACTCACTTATAAAAATTGTACATTTTAGTTAAAACTCACAACATTTTATAGAGCAAATAAAATATTAATCATTGATTAAAAATTGATTGACATTTGGTAAAATTCCCAAAACGACACCATTTTGTTCCCACCATCTTTTTCTTTATTTTTTTAATTAATTAATTATATGTATCACAAGTGCATAATGAAATTACCAAAAAGTGGCCGCCCGCTTTTTCTTCTTCTTCATCTTCTACTACTACTAACAGACATGCCAGAATGTTGGGAGCTCACGTGCAAGCCTGGTTGAACAACTCCGAGAAGCCCGACGTCCGCCCAGAAAGTCTGTCCGGATTCCGGCAACAGAGATCGTTCTAATTAATTAATTTGGCTTCCAAGTTAAATTTGGTTAATTAATTTTACAAAATATCAGTTTAGTTTTCCGATTCTGTCCGTTCTCCTTATACAATTTGGTCATTGATTTGCTCCTATGCCCATTATCCACTTATCTACTGCCATTGATTTCCTATTTAGAACGCAGAAACCTCCATGTACTACGCATTATGTATATATCTTCGAACAGATTCTCTCCTGATCTCAAATAGATAGCCCTAATACTTGCTCTGCTTGACTTGCACGCACACATCTTCTCTCAAATTACTTCGCCCGATCATCTTCTTCCATATCATCGCTTGTTTCTTTACTCGATCATCGCTGTTCATCAACCAACTTCAACCATGATATTGAAGATCAAAAGAGTTCGTGAAGAAGACAAATACGTTTACACCATAATCGCCAAGATTGCAAAACCTTGTCCCTCTGATTCAAACCCTTCTTCTAACCTGAAGTTAGATTCAGGTTCTTTCTATCTCCCCAAGAAATCTCGCGGAGACGATGCTCATTTCGTATCCCATACCCACCAGACCGTCGGAGTGGCTGACGGGGTCGGCGGTTGGTCAAAGATAGGCGTTGATGCCGGCAACTTCGCAAGAGAGCTAATGATGAACGCGCACGGAGAAGTGGAAAGTAGTGAAGTTGTTGATCCAAGAAAAGTGCTGAATGAGGCTTTCTTGAAGACCAAGGCTGAGGGATCATCCACCGCCTGCGTTCTCACCCTCAAAGATAGTTCTCTAATCGCTGTTAATGTCGGAGATAGTGGGTTTATGGTGCTCCGGGAGAAGAAGCTGATGTACCGGTCGCCGCCGCAACAACACCGGTTCAACTACCCGTATCAGTTGGGTAAGAGTGAGAAGAGCGATCGTCCTCAGTCGGCCTTGCATATAGAAGTGGGGGTTATGGCGGGAGACGTTGTGATTGTGGGTACGGATGGATTGTGGGACAACATTCACCCTACACAGATTGAATATATTTTAATGAGAGCTGGCGATGATGAGTCATGTTGCGCCCCTAAAGAAATTGCAGAAAGAATTGGAGCGGTTGCTTTTTTCAACTCCCGCAACAAAGATTATGATTCGCCATTCGCAATTGCTTCCAGAAAGGCAGGACGTAATCACAAAGGAGGCAAGAAGGATGACATTACTGTTCTCGTTGCTTTCGTCAAATCCTCCGTATCACACCCTTGAAGGAATTAGCAGAAGTTGTTTCTTTATGTCTACGATTTGTATTCATTCTTTATTCTTTAATTCTTTTTGTTCATAATTACATGAGAAATTAGTTCTGTAATATTGAATATAAAAATCAATGACAAGTATGGAAATTCAAGTTATTTACAAGTTCTTTGCTTCCATGAAAATATGAATACTCCGTGATGTTTACTCACTAATATATTTTGTCATTCAAAGAGAGTTTGAAGGGCATACGTCATGTTTTTCAAAACATCAGTATAACAACTCAAATCTAAAAAAAAAAAAATTATACGGAAGTAAAATAATAAAATTAGTATTTACATTTCTTACACAATAATTCAGAATACCCAATAAAATTACGAGAATGACCATTCTGAAGGACAAACAAAAAATCAAAAAATAAATAGAAAGTAAACAACTGGGCATTCTATTCGCAACATTCTTATGGATTGGCATCTGAATCTTGATTCTCTTAATCTGAAATGGTTAATAAAAGAGTGAACTATACTAATGCAGTAAGAATATCATACTCTTACTGATATAGAAATAAAAGTTGATAAAAATAATAAAAACAACTAATGAATCTATTAATTTAAGTAAATTTATTTATTATAAATAAAATCATTTATTGTATACTTATCGTAGCGAAATTTTTAAAAACTGATCTATAGAGACAATAACAAAAACAACATCATAATTTTATATTCAATTAGCTAGAACAAGAACTTTCTCTTTTTATTTACCTACTGGTATCCATGGGGGTTTATAGGGATGTTCCCACTACGTATGAACTATTATTCAACATTTTTAACTAACCGGCTGTCTTCATATCCCGTCCGATATGAGCACTAAAAATATCATCTCTCAATACTCTGTCTGGTATGAGCACCAAAAATACTATCCGTCAATACCCCGTCCGGTATGAGAGTGAAACGGACCATCCCCATACCCCGTTCGGTATGAGCACTAAAATACCAATTCTTGATACCCCGTCCGGTATGAGCCAACGTTCACGGTAGGATTTTCTATGTATTCGGTCCGTCCATCATCTCCCAGGATATCTAATAAGGCTACAATTCATTCATTCACTTAATCAAGTAATTTTCTGTTTATATTTAATTTTTAATTTAACAATTTAACTGTAAATCACGCAAGACAAGAATTACATGCATAAAAAAAAACACAATTGAATCATCTTAACAACTCTAGTGCATTATTATGCCTTTAAAACTGTAAAATCAATCAATCAGTTAAAACGGTACAAACAGTAATAAATAACCGGTTCTGTCTCCATTAGTAACATGTAATTAATTATCAAAATTTTCTAAATTACGCAAAATACTGTATTATTTATAATTTAAACTTCAATTCAATAACAGGGAATAAGGTGAGGGATTCTTACCGAATCGGTGTATAAAACGCTAAACTTTCAGTTGCGCCTACTAGCGGTCCCTGAGTTCCCTAATTTTTTTTTGGAAATTAAAACATGATTCAAGTTCCTAGAAATACCCCAAAAAATTTAAAATCGATGTTGAAAACTTTTTACGGCCAATTTTGAAATTCTTGCACGACCGCAATTTACCTCGGACTAGCCGTTTTCGACCAGTTTTGGCCAATTTCGGCTAGTTTTATACTCATCCATGCGAGAAAACATGTTAAGGAGTCTCAGTTGACCGAAAAAAATTGAAAAATAAAAACTTACCAGCAACGGAGTTTTCTGGTGTGGCGGCTTTACCAGCTTATCTTCATGGTTGATCATTTTCCTTCGGTCAACCTGTAGAAAACAGAATAGTGAATACAATGGTGAAAAAATTACACGAAACGGGACTTGAAAAGAGGCTCATCGGAGGCAATTTTTGGTTTTTTCTGCGGCAGCGACGTCGACCTTTACCTATGGTTTTCACCTCATCCGCTGGTCTTTTTGCTCCGATTTGGCCATGGGAGTGTTCAAAATTAAATTTCGAGCGAATAAAATTTTTTTAATCTTTTTTGGCAGTCGGAGGTGACTCCGGCGCGGCGGGGGGCGGCAATCGGTTTCATTCTCCGGCGTCTAGTTCTTCTTCTCTGACGGGGGATTGGCGGCTACGGTTAGGGTTCAGTGTGAAGTGAGATATTTATACCCGTCGTCCTTAAATCTGGACCGTTCATCGCGTTTGATCTCAATCGTCTGATCGCGTTTAAAGAGGAAATGAATCTGAATCGTTCATTACGATTTGATCTAGACTGTATGATCACGTTTAAAGAGGGGATGAATTTAGAGCGTTCATCGTATTTAATCGTGATCGTCTGATCGCGCTTGAGGAGGAGGCGGATCCGGATCGTCCACGCACGCGGGAATGCATCTCGACCGTCCGATCGCGGGCACGCGGATTAACAGCGTAAATCCTGCGTAGCATCGAGTTAGTGTGCCCTGCCACGCGGCGCACTCCGGTTCGTCGGGGGTACTGGCTGGGCGACCCTATGTGGTGCATTTTTTTTAAATTATGTTTTGACCCCTAGTTTTCGATTTTTTTTTCAAAAATGCCCCTCGAACCTAAATTTTTACTAAATTTTTCCAAAATTATTTTCAATTTCATCATTCACCTATTTTTTCCTAATTTTATATTAAATCAAAATTTATAAAATTAAAATTTATATTTTTTATATATTAATTTAATTTTTAAAATTAATCATGGACTAAATTTTTGGTCCTGTGTATTACAACTCTCCCCCCTTAAAAAAAATTTTGTCTCTCTCTCTCACTCAATCAAACAGTTGGGGATACTGAGCTCTGAAATCTAATTCTAGCTCCAATGTGGCATCTCTATATGTGTGATTTTGTCATAGCACCTTAACAAAAGAAATTTTCTGGTTACGGATTATTCTGTTCTTTTGGTCCATAATACCCACCGGTACCTCCTCGTAGGACAGACCCTCCTGGAGTGAAAGGGGCTCGTGGGCCAAAACGTGAGAGGGGTCCGGGTTATACTTGCGTATCATGAACACATGAAATACGTTAGGGACCCTGAATAGTTCTGGAGGAAGTACCAATCTATAGGCGGTGGTGCCAATTCTGTATAAGATTTCAAATGGTCCAATAAACTGTGGATTTAGTTTTCCCATTTTGCAAAACTTACTGATTTTCTTGAAAGGAGTGACCCTAAGGAACACCCGATCACATTTATCAAATTCCAAATCCCTCCTCCAGGTATCTGCATAACTCTTTTGCCTATTCTTAGCCATCTGGATGTTCTTCCTGATCTTAACTATTTTGGCTATAGTCTCCTCCACAAGATCTGAACATAATAATTTTTTATCACCCACTTTTTTCCAACAGATCGATGATCTGCATAGACGACCATATAACGCCTCGTACGGAGCTATACCGATACTTACTTGGTAGCTATTATTGTAGGTGAACTCTGTTTGGGGTAAATGATCAAATCTCAATAGCTTTTGAAGTCAAGAACACAAGCTCGGAGTATATCATCGAGTGTGCGGATCGTCATTTCTGATTTGCTAAAAACTAGACCAGAATTCAGAAGTGAACCTGGGATCCCTGTCGGACACTACTATCATTGACACTCAATGTAACCTGCATATCTTTTGGATATACATTCTTGCTACCTTATCCAAGTGGTTGGTCATTTTGATGTCCAAGAAGTGGGAAGACTTGGTGAACCGGTCAATAATTACCTAAATGACATCATGTCTCAAGCGTGTCCTAGATAATTCTGTCACAAAATCTATTGTGATGTGTTCCCACTTTTACTCCGGAATTGGTAATGGCTGAAGTAGCCCACCTGGGTGTTGATGCTCTATCTTAACTTGGTGACATACCAAACACTTGGACACAAAGTCGGCCCGTTCCATCAAAATCGAGATCGCATACTTTGATACATTTTAGTACTTTCGGGATGTATGACAAAATTTGAGTTATAGGTCTCTGTCATGATGTCCCTTTTCAACTTATTGTCATATGGAACACACACCATGTCCTGAAATCTAAGTAACCCATCAGCAGAGACTCGAAATTCTAAATTTACTCCCTATTTACATAATTCTTGAAGGTGCTAGGGTGGAATCGGTGGATTAAACTTTTTTTATCTTTGAATCAACTCAGGTTGAACAGTCAGATGAGCCAAGCATATAACTCTCTTTAGGTCTTGAAGTCGTACATGTTGTGCGGCCTTTATTACCCTGTATTATGAAACTATTAGCTGGGCTAATATACCTGCACTTTTTTTGTTGAGTGCATTGGCTACCACGTTGCCCTTATCCGGGTGATACAAGATATTATAATTGTAGTCCTTGAGGAGTTCTATCTATCCTCTTTGACGCATGTTGAGATAGATTTGAGTAAATATGTGTTTCAAGTTCTTATGATCGGTATAGATCTAAAAAGCTTCCCCATATAACTAATGGCGTCAAGTCTTCAAGACGTGGATAATCGTGGGAAGTTTTAGGTCACAAGTAGGGTAATTTTTTTCTCATGACTCTTCAACTGCCTGGACCTATAAGTTATGACATTCTCATACTGCATCAGAACACAACCCAATCCCAAGTAGAAGACATCACTATAAACTATATATCCTCATGTCCCGCTCGGCAAGGCCAACACAGGTGCAATGGTCAACCGCTTCTTTAGTTCTGAAAAACTCATTTTAAAGTCTTCATTCCACTCAAACTTGACGTTCTTTTTTGTGAGCCCAGTCAAAGGAGTAATTACACTAGAAAATCATTCCACGAACCTGTGGTAATAACCTGTCATCCCTAAAAAGTTACGAATCTCCTTGACTGAGATTAATTTTTCCCAGCTGAGCACTGCTTCAACTTTTTTGGAATTCACTGACACTCAATCCCTTGATATGATGTGCCCTAAGAAGGTAGTCTGCTTGAGCCAGATCCATACTTACTCAACTTAGCATACAACTTCTTTTCTCTGAGAACCTGCAAAAGCTGAGTTAGATGGTAAACGTGTTCCTCTCTGCTTTTTGAATAGATCAGGATATAATCGA